ATTATATCGCTGCTTGATAATGCTTCTTAAAGCCTCTTATGCTGCTCAAGGTATCCAAAGGCCAACTACTAACATTCCCCAGGGTGCAACCCATAGCAGTTACCTAAGTCCTATGTACCTATTTACTGCCAGGTGAAGAGAGGCATCAGGTGCAAGTAAACGTGACCGAACGTATTGTCCAGAGTAGGAATCAAGTCCTGGACAATTTAGTGTGAGCTGTCTGCGTTGAGCGCTGCGCTATAGATGCCTCTACATTGTATATATTATGTCCAACAAGTAAAAAAAAGTCGAACTTAAAAAACCCAAATGGTATATTGGTTTATTATTGAAGTTGTATAGAAAAATGATGCGGTTACTACAAAGTGGCGAGCATGGCCGAGCCATAGTGTGTTGGGGGGGGGGGGGGGTGTCGCTGGTGGCGGTGCTCCTCCGGTGCCGCCGCTGGTGGCGCTGCTCCTCCGGTGCCGCCCACCGCCCGCCTCCGGTGGAAGAAACATGACAAAACACGAAGGTTAAGTTCCCAGCAGCATTTCCGCCTCCCAGTTTTTCCCTCGGTCGGTCGACTAAATGAGAGTCTGTAGCTCCTGGACCGCTGCCAGGGACTGACCGAGCACCTCCCTACACCTTGTGGCTACCTTGTGGGGATTCCGGGGATCAACGTCCCCGCAACCTGGTCTCTGACCAAGGTCTCCTGATCTAGTCAACCAGGCTTTCGGACGCGGCTGCTCGCAGCCTGAGGTATAAATCACAGCCTGGTTAATCAGGTATCCACTGGAGGCATTTATCGAGTTCTCAGTTGAGCACCGCGAGAGGTGGGCCCTTATGTGACCGAGGAATATAAAAACAAGTCATTCGCCTGAACAAGGCCGTTGTTTGCTTATCTCTGACTGCAAAAATTACTTCAGAAGTTCAGTTTAATATATTTATTTGTCCAAGTCAGATTAACCCTAACGCAGCTCTCAAGGAAAGACAACAGAAAACAGTTTTACCTGCTTCTCACCTCACTCCTTCCTTACTCTCCCTCCTGGATGGCTTAATCTTCATCACTCCCTCCTTCACACACGACTTGTGTGATGGTCGAGGACACGTCGTCATCCTCTGACGTGCGGCTTAGTCATTACACTCATATGGTTACCTCAGGTCGCTATCTTGAGATGATTTCGGGGCTTTAGTGTCCCCGTGGCCCGGTCCTCGACCAGGCCTCCACCCCCAGGAAGCAGCCCGTGACAGCTAACACCCAGGTACCTATTTTACTGCTAGGTAACAGGGGCATAGGGTGAAAGAAACTCTGCCCATTGTTTCTCGCCGGCGCCTGGGATCGAACCCAGGACCACAGGATCACAAGTCTAGCGTGCTGTCCGCTCGGCCGACTGACTCCCCTACCGCTCTGCGGTAGCGCACAGAAAGATTACAGAGGGCACAAAAGGTCTTTATCAGACCTCAACGGCGATTATTACAGTAACAATCTCATCTATCCGTCACACCTTATTATTACAATGTCAGCTTGTTCGTGTTCTATTTCCAAAGTTATATATTTACAGTAAATCGTTATACATTAATGGTGGGTCTTAACGCTAATACATAATTATATGAGCAATGGAGATATTGCAGTCATAGGGGAGCTGCTGTTTGTTATTATTAGTCTTCACAATACACTACTTGTCTCTTAATCTCATATGTCGTTTGTCTACTGGAAGCGAAATATGGATACACTGCAAGGATATTATTCTTAGTAATAAGATCGTTTACCATATCATAGAACGTGAGTTTAGATTTATCTCTAAATCGCTCAATCTAAGTGTGTGTTCGAGTGTGTATTCCTGTCTTTGTCCGCACACTGTACTTAACTTCATCTAGATATCTATACAAGCCCATCTGCCAGAGATACTTGTAGCCAAGTCTTATTCGAGCTGTGACAACATCTGTTAGTCTAATGACTTTGTTACTTGCCCCATACACATGTTTTTACTTCACACATTTCATTGTGGTAAACAATGGACCTGCTAGTTCCAGTTTGCACTGTTCTACTTTCTTCAAATTCATCCAAGAGTTCTCGTCTAATGACACCCTTCAGGGACCTCTTCAGGGACCTATTCAGGGATCTATTCAGGGACCTATTTTGTTCTTAATCCCGTTCTCGACTTGGTTAACACAGTGTTAGGAACTCGCCTCGCACCTCACTACCGATTTCGCCTAGGTTCGAGCCCAGGTCAGGGAGGACTGATTGGGCGCCAAAATCTTTAGCTGTTATCCCTTCTCCCGCGGCAACAATTGGAAACCTGGGCTGTATACCGATTTGCGGGTGGTGTACCAAGGAAAACTAGTTGTGTGAGGCTTACCATGAGCAACGGGACACAAGCTCTCACCCTGCTAGCAGCAGCCACAAGTATTCTACCAATGTATTTACGCTTACCCACCTTAGTAAAAAAAATAATAATAAAACTGAAGCGTGTGAGTGGTAGTGGTGGTTGTAAGCACTTCCCGGAGTGGCCGCCAGGTGGTGCTCGACTGACCTTTCATATTCATCATTTGTCTGGATCAGCAGCTTTAAAGGTCGCTGCTTTAAAAGGAAGTGAGACAGTGAATATGTGTGCTGTACTGAGTGCCGTTTCCTGCATGCCTAACACTGATCACAGATATTATTTTCCTACTGCCTCTTTGAGACGTTTCTTGGTGACGTCTCGTCGTGACGTCCTCCGTGAGCGTCAGGGCGTTTCTCCGTCAGGTTTACCTCGAAGAAACGTGTCAACTACACAACGATGGTTTATGTGTGTGTTCCTCCCACAGACAAACCAATCCTAACCATATGAGCACACAATAAATGTAAACATAGATACATATATACATATATACACACATACATTACAGGGGCCTGGTGGATAGCGCGCAGGACTCGTAATTCTGTGGCGTGGGTTCGATTCCCGCACCAGGCAGAAACAAATGGGCAAAGTTTCTTTCACCCTGAATGCCCCTGTTACCTAGCAGTAAATAGATACCTGGGAATTAGTCAGCTGTCATGGGCTGCTTCCTGGTGTGTGTGTGTGTGTGTGTGTGTGTGTGTGTGTGTGTGTGTGTGTGTGTGTGTGTGTGTGTGTGTGTGTGTGTGTGTGTGTGTGTGAGGTGTGGAAAAAAAGTAGTTAGTAAAACAGTTGATTGACAGTTGAGAGGCGGGCCGAAAGAGCAAAGCTCAACCCCCGCAAACACAACTAGGTGAATACACACATACACACAATGGAATGCATTAGGCAGTGATGTGGTGAAGGATGTCTCCATAAACAGTTTCAAATGTAGATTTGATTGAGCCCAATAGGCATCAAAATCTGTATATCAGTTGATTGACAGTTGAGAGGCGGGAGCAAAGCTAGCAAGAAGCTAAATGTTCAAGGTGCATATAGCACCCTCTTCACAACGGTGTGCCCACACCGCGGAGTGAAGAGGCACATGTGAGGGCCGGGGGCCGGGTCTGGAAGTGAAGGTGTGAGCGACTTAACTTATTGGTCAAGGTGTGGTGGTCTACACCATGCACTACACCACGAACTACACCATGTACTACACCAGGAACTACGCCATGTACTACACCAGGAACTACACCGTGCTGTACAGTGTACGCTGCACGAAGGCTCAACACAAGAGACACAACTACACAACAACACAAAAGAGCGGAGGAACAAGTGAGTCAACACACGGTACAAGAGGAACAATTTAACACACAAATAAGGACACATTAACGACACCAAGATATCCTGCTGGAGCCGTTAACGTGATCGACCACCCGAAGCGGCCAGGCTCTTCTCTTTCTCAAACTTTCGCCTAAACTTTCCATGTTTTGAGATTGCGTTTCTTCTCTGTACATTGTCCAGTCTTCATAGCTGTCAAAATATGTTCTCAGTGTCTCCATACAACACGATGAGGTATTAAAGCGCATTTATTGTTAGTTAAAAGAACACACACGCAATTAGGTCAGTGACTTTCTCTCCTCGTGTGCAGTGTGTATTCTGGCCGCCACGGCGGTGTCAGCTGCCCGTGGCGCTGTGGCCGAGGCTGCCAAATGCTGCTCTTTGTGGTCTTGACAGTTTGGGGGAAAATCTGGAAGAATGCTGAAATTAAGTTTAGATTTGTGGGTGGGGGGGGGGGATGTCTAGGACATTTGAGACCAATCGTGACGTCATCTGTTGTATTCCATGACTGTAGTCGTCTGCTGTACTGTTCTTTATCATGCTGCCACCTATGTATTCCCCTAGTAAACTATTTATTTATTCTTTTTCATTAGCAATTTTCTAAGTTACTGCTGCACCATAAACCTGTCATTATAAGGAACCACAACCATGATGTTTATTTTTACCATGGTCCCCCCCCCCTCCACACTACTCTCACTCTCCACCCTCAACACTACTCTCACTCTCCACCCTCAACACTACTCTCACTCTCCACCCTCAACACTACTCTCACTCTCAACCCTCAACACTACTCTCACTCTCAACCCTCAACACTACTCTCACTCTCCACCCTCAACACTACTCTCACCCTCCACTCACAACACTACTCTCACTCTCCACCCTCCACCCTCCACACTACTCACTCTCCACCCTCAACACTACTCTCACTCTCCACCCTCAACACTACTCTCACTCTCCACCCTCAACACTACTCTCACTCTCCACCCTCAACACTACTCTCACTCTCCACCCTCAACACTACTCTCACTCTCCACCCTCAACACTACTCTCACTCTCCACCCTCAACACTACTCTCACTCTCCACCCTCAACACTACTCTCACTCTCCACCCTCAACACTACTCTCACCCTCCACTCACAACACTACTCTCACTCTCCACCCTCCACACTACTCTCACTCTCCACCCTCCACACTACTCTCACTCTCCACCCTCAACACTACTCTCACTCTCCACCCACAACACTACTCTCACTACCTCACACTCCAGCAACACCGCTCAGTGCTCCAACTTCACACTAATCCGTCCTTGTGTTTCCTCTGCAGCAGTACTTGTGGCGACCGTGGCGAGGGCTCAAGAGAACACCACGGCCAGCGACGCCCCCGCCCAAGTGGACGACGGCAAGCCGAAGAAGACGGGCGATCCCCAGAAGGACTACCTGCTGGACCCCAACCTTCCTCATGAGCTCATCGGCTATGATCTGAGCAACTATCCCTTCTACAACAGGTTGCCCAAGGATCTGCTCGATCCCAAGTTCAATTTCACTTGCGACAACCGCCATGATGGCTTCTACGCCTCCATCCCTCACAAGTGTCAGGTTAGTAATGGTCGCTGCTCGCCCCTCCCACCCCTCCAACGGGAATGCTCAATACTGCTGTACAAGAATCACAGTTGATTGCCCGTTGCCCGAAACGCTATACGTACTAGTGGCTTTAGGTATTGTATGTACTATCTCTATCTTTAAGTCTATCATTATGTATGTAACTCAATGGATGTACCTTTACCTGAATAATCTGAATCTGATTTATGAAATGTCTCTCTCTCTCTCTCCTTGTTCTCTCTTTTTCTTTATTTCTCTCTTAATCTCTTAGCTTCGTCACGCTTCAAGCCAGGAGCACACACAAATGGTAGCATGTTGGCAAATGCTAAAGCATCGTGTTTTAACCAATTCAGAACTTAAACAGATTCTTTCATAAACCTATATGATGGGTTAGACTTGACCTACAGCAAACGGCACCCACATAAAACATTTACTTGTTAAGGCAAACACAATTAGAAAATTTAGATGATCCAGAGATTTGCCCTACAACTTCAACTGGAAAGACAAAAAGTGCTATGATAACAGGCTTAAATGTTTGAACCTACAAACACTGAAGGGAGGAAGAACCAGATGAGACATGACCACAGTGTTGAAGATAGAGACGCATGTAAAGTGGATAAGAATCAATAGGACTGAAGGGCACAGGTATAAACTAGTAAGAGACGAGCTCCGGGGATGTACTGAAGAACCTCTTGTGTCCTGGGTGTAGAAACATGAAGTGTCCTCGAGAGGTGGCTACAGATTGTAACTATCAGAATAAAGCGTTAAGCCAGTATGACTATACAACACTTTAAGTCAGATATCATGGCACGATATGAGCCGGGAGAGGAAAAAGTGAAGAAACTGTGCCCAATCGCTCGAGACCTCGGGGATCGAAAGCCTACCCTTAAAAAAAAAGCGAGGCTGTCGTAGAATCCTACCAGTCTAAAGTGGATTTACAGGCATCGATTAAATTAAACAGCTTGGAGACAATCTACGGCTCTTAACGTCACCAAATGTGGATTAGAGTCCTCCAGTCGTCACCCTCCGGAGGTGTCTTACCAGGGGAGAGTAAGTCACTGACCCTGTGGATAGCGGGCTGCGGTGAGGCGTCCACACGCTCCCACATAGTTTCCTTTCTAATTGTTAAAACTTTGTAGGTAAGGCTAGCGTGGGTTAGGGTAGGCGAGGTAGGCTTTTAATACAACACAAAATTCGTTGACGAACCATCTCATGCACGAAATGGCCTGTATCGATGGGTAAGAGAGTGTTAAGTGTTCCTGTCGAGTCGCACGACAAAGAAATCCGAGGGAAAAAATAGCCAACCGGTAAAATCTCGTCGATAATTATACTGAAGGCTCTCTCTACCGTCTCACCCCCCCCCCTTCACGAGATGCTCTTCTCTCAGTGACGAGAAGCTCTTCTTCTCTCAGTGACGAGATGCTCCTCGTCTCTCAGTGACGAGATGCTCCTCGTCTCTCAGTGACGAGATGCTCCTCGTCTCTCAGCAGGCTATGTCAGTACGACGTCCTGCTAACACCAGACCAAGGAAGAGTTCTCATTGTATCTTTGAGTAATGGAAAGCAAGCTTTCCCTCCGGTTAGACATAACAGCCAGAGTGTACTCACGCGATCCCAGACCACTTTGCCAGCCTCCCTGTTCTCCACAGCATCGTATTAACCGGCAAAATCAACTGTGGTACCACATCTTGGTACCTCATGAGAGGGTGGAGGATCTTGGATTAGTGAAGCATCCAGTGGCATGGTCTGGAAGCCCCAGCATCCAGTGGCATGGTCTGGAAGCCCCAGCATCCAGTAGCATGGTCTGGAAGCCCCAGCAACCAGACATACTTGGTTAATGACTTTGCTCTCGCTGTTATTTCTCATTATATTTATCCTTATTTAAATATTACCAGTAAGTATTGTTGGCATCCAAACATGCATATTATACTGTCCCTTCTGCAAGTGGCAAAGTCGTGTATTAAACCCACGTTATATTTTATTCCCCATGTAGCGTTTTTTCCCCTTCACTTTCTCTTGCGACTCGTGCTAACTTCTCACAAATTTTTGACTCGTCTCACGAGACACCCTCATCTGGCAGAATCTTTGTTAACTTGTCACAACTCCCTTTCTTCACTCTACTCGCAGGATGTGAGTAGCGAGAAGAGATAGTAAATGGTGAATTACAGTTCTCTATCTCTCCTTCGCTGCTCATAACTTTAATCTCCCTCTGATTACAGCTGGCCTTGACTTATATTTATCTCACACGTCTTGCCTCTATAACCCTCTCACAGGACACTCCTTGTCTCCACATGGTAGACATGTGGGTCTACCATGGCTCAGGTCCCTAGGCTCTCACACCCCGTTATTTCACCAGTCTCTGACACATTAAGATAATTATATTTGATACAAATATCAATATTATATACAGTACTATCACAGACCCCACAACTTTCCCTCTCGCTGACCCCACAACTTTCCCTCTCGCTGACCCCACAACTTTCCCTCTCTCAGAACCCATAACTTTCCCTCAGAACCCACAACTTTCCCTCTCTCAGAACCCATAACTTTCCCTCTCTCAGAACCCACAACTTTCCCTCTCACTGACCCCACAACGTTCCCTCTCACTGACCCCACAACGTTCCCTCTCACTGACCCCCACTTTCCCTCTCGCTGACCCCACAACGTTCCCTCTCACTGACCCCCACTTTCCCTCTCGCTGACCCCACAACTTTCCCTCTCGCTGACCCCACAACTTTCCCTCACACTGACCCACAACTTTCCCTCTCACAGACCCCATAACTTTCCCTCTCAATGACCCACAACTTTCCCTCTCACTGACCCCAACTTTCCCTCTCACAGATCCCATAACTTCCCCTCTCTCAGAACCCACAACTTTCCATCGCCATAGACCTCCTTGCTTTTCCTCTTTCCTCAGTCCTGGAGACTCGCTCAATCCTCACAACTGATGATAATTTTATTTAGGTAAAAGTACTGACAAATGAAATGAGTTACAAGCAGAATGTTGGACTTCTATAAAAGCAAGTATATACTATGCCTGAAACCTCTGGTTCGCACAGCGTTTCCGGCAAGATGTGGAAAAATAAATAAAAAACTAAGACTTAAAACTAATTGAGATCAAAAGCAAGAATTGAACTGAAGTAGAAAAAAGTGACAATAATTACATGTTGAATGGAACAGCAGAAATTTCAATAGAACAATAGAGTAATTTTAACTAAATAAACATTATGGGGTACAATTTTCTTTCCAGTTTATACATGGTAGATATTAGCAGTTGTACAAGTTAGTCATTAATCATTAATGTTTGCTAACAGCGAGACAAAGGTTGACAACTGTCTCCCTCCCGGCAGACCCACCACAACTAACCATTCCTCGTTCCGCAGGTGTACCACAATTGCCTTTTTGGGACGCGGTACGACTTCCTGTGCGCCAACTACACTGTATTCGACCAGAAGAACTTCATTTGCCATTACGTTAGTGAGGTTGACTGCGAGAACTCTGAGAAACACTACGACAGGTAAAGCTCTGGCCTAACGCTTTAAGATGCTGCCCGCCCTTCTCTCAGCCCTTGACCTGTTTGCCCTTATTATTTGTTTGGATTCAAATGAGTGTGATCAATGTAGTATAAAACATTGTAATATCCCACGTTATTTCCTTGGAGTATGTAGCTCAGTCTCCTGTAGATCAATCGTCCACATATATCTTTCTTACAGGAACGACGAATTATATGAGACAACGACCACGACGACCAGCACGACACCTGCTCCTCAGATCATCTATGTGGAGAGGCCTCGACCGATAGGTGGTCAAGGAAGGATCCGCGCCAATCGCCCTAACCGCCAACGTCCTTTCAGTGGCAAGCGACGCACCACCACAACCACACCCTCGCCAGATTACGACTATGACTACTATGGTGATTACTACGATGACTACTATAATGATGAAACCACGACTACTACGAAGAGGCCGCTCCGTCGCCGTCGTCCCAACAGGCCGAGGCAAGGGGGTCAAGGAGGTGAAGACAGGTCTGGTGGTGGGGTGAATGCTAGGAACCGCAATAGTCCGAGGGGTCAGCAATCAGCACCTCGGAACGAGGAGTTCAGTGAGCCCCAAGTGGCTCGTCTGCAGCAGGCCAACACCCCGAGAGAACAAACTTTCGACAATGCTCCAGAAGAGGCCCTACAGGACCTACCTCAGGATGCTTCAACGGGGAATCGAAGACGTCGCCCGAACCGCCCTGCCCCAAAGGTAGGTCCTGGACGCAAGAAGTCTGCAACTACCACAACCACCTCCACCACCACCACTACCACTACTACAGAGCCTTCTCCGGATTATTATTACGATGAATATTATGACTATGGTGATGAGAATGCATCCACGACTACAACAACGACGACAACTACCGCAGCTCCCGGTCGTCGTACCCGACCGACATTCTCGCCATCTTCATCCCGTAATCGGCCAAGTGGCAGTAGTTTCAGGCCGCGTCCTAATCCAGCCACTGATACAACAGCTGCTGAGGTAACTGTTGACGAACCTACAGAAGATGGTGGCAGAACCCCGATCCGCAGCAATGTAAATAGGCAATCGGCTATCGCTAACCGGCGTGTGTCCCAAGCGGAGCCCCTAGATATCGTTTCCGATGTGTCCTCTCCATCGGAGCGTCAACGCCCCCAACGAGTGGGGCCAAGCTTTCCTAAGCGCAGATCTCAAACCGCGACAGAAGAAGCAGAGGTCGCAACAGAAGCAGTAAATCTCGAACCAGATTTAGAATTCTTCGAAGATGCACTTCCCGACGAGACTGCTGCTGATGCCGGTGGAGTACGGGATCGGAACAGGGTACGCCTGCCAGGGCCAGGCAGGCATGGTAACCAAAGGCCTAGGGTACGAAGGCACGGACAGCCATCTCTCAGCTACGACGACTATTAGCACTTAATATTTATTGTGTACAGTCACTACCTTCTTGTTTTGTACATTAGTTATATTGTTTATACGCATAAATCTTTTAATTAATGAAAGGAATGTATATCTTAATCCTTCATTGTCACAATAAAACAAAAATAGTGGAAATACATAAAAAATTCCCACACATCTTTCATTGAGCATTAAATAAATGCATTGGGTTATCAAATACAGCATAAGTATAACATGCATGGTGAAAGCCATATTTTATTAACATGCTGTAAACATTACAAAATATCAACGAAAAAGCGACTATATTCATACCTAAGATTCAAAAGAGAATAAGAAAATGTGTGTATATATAGGTTAAGCCTCGTAACTTTGTTGAGGAATTATTTGTTTCTTTTTTCTTAATGTACCTTAGTGATCAATGCACACAACCCAGTGGGAAGGTGCAGTGAAGGATAAGTGCTCACGGGAGCGGTGAAACATTTTCTATAAAGACTATACAAGAGTGTTGTAGGGGAAGATATTGTGCACGAGTGGCTGTGGTCATGGTGCACGGGTGGCTGTGGTCATGGTGCACGGGTGGCTGTGGCCATGGTGCACGGGTGGCTGTGGCCATGGTGCACGGGTGGCTGTGGCCATGGTGCACGGGTGGCTGTGGCCATGGTGCACGGGTGGCTGTGGCCATGGTGCACGGGTGGCTGTGGCCATGGTGCACGGGTGGCTGTGGCCATGGTGCACGGGTGGCTGTGGCCATGGTGCACGGGTGGCTGTGGCCATGGTGCACGGGTGGCTGTGGCCATGGTGCACGGGTGGCTGTGGCCATGGTGCACGGGTGGCTGTGGCCATGGTGCACGGGTGGCTGTGGCCATGGTGCACGGGTGGCTGTGGCCATGGTGCACGGGTGGCTGTGGCCATGGTGCACGGGTGGCTGTGGCCATGGTGCACGGGTGGCTGTGGCCATGGTGCACGGGTGGCTGTGGCCATGGTGCACGGGTGGCTGTGGCCATGGTGCACGGGTGGCTGTGGCCATGGTGCACGGGTGGCTGTGGCCATGGTGCACGGGTGGCTGTGGCCATGGTGCACGGGTGGCTGTGGCCATGGTGCACGGGTGGCTGTGGTGTTGGTAGTGTGTAGTCATAGCAGTGTGCGGTCATGGTACCCCAGCTGGCCATGGTCAAGGTACAAAATTGGCTGTGGTCATTGTATCCAGCTGAGTACAGTCACGGTCCCCAGCTGAGTACAGTCACGGTCCCCAGCTGAGTACAGTCACGGTCCCCAGCTGAGTACAGTCACGGTCCCCAGCTGAGTACAGTCACGGTCCCCAGCTGAGCACAGTCACGGTCCCCAGCTGAGCACAGTCACGGTCCCCAGCTGAGCACAGTCACGGTCCCCAGCTGAGCACAGTCACGGTCCCCAGCTGAGTACAGTCACGGTCCCCAGAGTACAGTCACGGTCCCCAGCCGAGTACAGTCACGGTCCCCAGCCGAGTACAGTCACGGTCCCCAGCCGAGTACAGTCACGGTCCCCAGCCGAGTACAGTCACGGTCCCCAGCCGAGTACAGTCACGGTCCCCAGCCGAGTACAGTCACGGTCCCCAGCCGAGTACAGTCACGGTCCCCAGCCGAGTACAGTCACGGTCCCCAGCCGAGTACAGTCACGGTCCCCAGCCGAGTACAGTCACGGTCCCCAGCCGAGTACAGTCACGGTCCCCAGCCGAGTACAGTCACGGTCCCCAGCCGAGTACAGTCACGGTCCCCAGCCGAGTACAGTCACTGTCCCCAGCTGAGTACAGTCACGGTCTCCAGCTGGCTGTGCTCTATCCTGGCACCTTACTGGGTGCTGATTCATGTTTTGTTATGCTGTAATAAATTGCTTATATCGAAACTTGTTTTTTTTATATCTATCCATACTGTAGATGAACGAAAACCCTTTCTGGTTTAATGCCAAATATTGGTTCAGAGCAGAGCGACCTAGCTCAGTATGCCTTACGAGGGCCTCAGTGTGGTCAAAAGGCCAAGGAATGTCTAGGTGCTATTGAAAAGTGTCGCTTGCACATTTGCATATCAATGTGATATCGAAGAACGTAGTAATGCAGCATTTATGCATGATGTTCATATATCTGTAAATAGCTTTGCAAGAACGTATGCTATTTACTGACACTACCTTCAACTTGTTTAAACAGCAATCACTAAAGAATATTGTAAATAACGAGTTAAGAAAAGTTCATTCATGGATGTCAACCAACAAACTCACACTAAACTTGGATAACACCTACCGCAGATAAGACCTTATATTTGGAAACAAATCGTCGAACCAAATAAACCTGCAGATAGACAATGTCAACTCTAGTAGTAGAAATGAGGGGAAAGTTCCTTGGCATGTACATAGACAAGAGACTTAACTTCATTTCTCACATACATCACATAGCCAAAAGTGTCTCTAAAACTGTTGGTATTCTATCAAACATTAAATATTATGTTCCCAGCTCTGCTCCTCTCACGCTATACTGCTCACTTATCTATCCCTATCTAATTTATGGTATCTGTGCATGGAGTTCAACCACTGCAAAGTGCCGCAAGTGCATCATTGCCCAGCAAAAAACAGCTATCAGAACTATAACAAATTGTTTCTCCAGCCAACACACAGCCCCTCTGTTCAAATCCCCAAACGTGCTAAACATACTCACTCCACACGCCCACACGTGCTATTCACATTTACAAAACATTGTTTTGTAAATAAATTTATACAATTGAATCATCACCTTCCTTTCCTTAAGCAGGTTTCTAAGGCAGGATTTATTTTTAATAAAACCATGATGGTGAACGATTCCATCATGGTTTTGATGAAATCAAAATTCACAGAATTCACAAAAATCACAAAATCCACAGAATTCTCTCCATGTGCTTGCAGATATGTTAACTGCAGGCAAAATCTAACAAGCTTCAAGTCCACACCTTTGGGAATCATACAGTATATAATAAAATAATAATGACTGTCCCATTCATATTCTGGCAGTTGTATTCAGCAGAAGACAAACAAAGTATTTATTAAAAATGTATGAATGCAGGTTTAACTGCATTTTTCACATGCATTGCAACTGTGAATAAAATGTAAAGCAAAACTTCATGTACTATACTGTATATAGCAAAAGTACTTTATAAGATTTCTCCCCTTTGGTATATATTAATTTAATCTCATTCTTGAGAATAAAGCTCATTGTTTAAAATGTTGAAATGCATAAATATAATTGTTTCCAGGATATATAAGTCTAATGAGGGAAGCTATCTATAACATAAATGAAAATAGTGTAAATCAAAAGATTTTTATTCATTGTATAATGCACATTATAAAGACATTGTACATAACATGGAAAGCCACCAGTGGACCACTGGGCGAAAGAACTTGACTGTTCTGAGACCATTGGAGATAGAAATACTGTACTGTGTATCAGCCAAGTTATGAAGTATAGTAGAAGAGTTCCCTCAGCAGCCCTGGACCACTGGCTGGGAGCTCAGCACGAAGGACAGCCAGGAAAACCAGACATAAAATATAAGAAATGTACCATAAAAACTCATACAATATTCCTGTTTCTAAAACGAAGACAACACAGTGATTAAATGAGTATTTTATATAAGTCAAACATCATCGGTAAACTTCATTATGTAAGGTATTAGCTGAATTTGATCAAAATTTGAATTACCTCGTACTTAAAGGAGACGTGTCTTGATTGTACAAAAAGGAATATAAGGTATTAAGGCATTTAAAAAGAAAAATGTGCATGACAGTCGGTTCTTACAATAGGTTCTTATGCCACAGGATCCACTACCAGGAACCTAAAGGGAAGGATCATGTGGCAGGGTACTGCATAAGGGCAGGAGTTTGTGTTCCACTTGAGAAGCAAGTACCTAAGGGAAACACTCTTTAGGGCTGGAATAAAAGAATATCGCTAAAGGCAGGTACCTAAGGGGAAACTTTTCAAAGGGAAGAGTAGGAATTATGCCCCTACCCTTGTGGGTAGGGGCCTAAGGACAACAGCTTAATAGGCTAAGGGGCACAATACAGCAGAGAAAGGTCTTAAGGATATCTCTGAAGAGAAGACAGAGGAGTTTGGGGGTCACTACTAACAACAATGAAGGAGACAGCATTCTACAGGGTATGGCACTAATGGAAAATTCAAAGCAGGAAGATTGGAAAACACTCCAGAAAATCCTTGTAAATGGACACACTGACAGACCAGAAGGACATGATGACCTAAGGTGATCTCCATGGCAAAAAAATTTATTTTTTTTATTTTTGGAAAGAGTTTCTAGTTCTGTCGTTAGTTGTCTTAGAAAAATTTAGGTGCAGCATAACTTATCTATGAGAAAAGGAACTGCAACTAGAAGACATAAAAAACGTATCAATGAGAAATGGAACTGCAACTAGAAGATATACAAAACAAGGGGTAAAGGGAAAGCTGGAAAGGAAGGGAATGGGGCAACAGTTGGCACATGGATGGACTTTGGGTTCGGACGAGGCTAGCCCATCCCACCTCACGCCACCTGGCTCACACAAGTGCACTAACATTACAGGCCGGCTTAGTAGCACCTTCAGACATTCCTCATCACTTCACACCCTTATATAGGCTGTATAAATCTTACTGTATGATCAAGAGGGAGATAGTGTGTGAGCCAGTGACATTTGAGTGGACTGGCTGCCAATAAGCTCTAGACTATGCCGACTCGTATGACACTCATGTATGATACAAATGACACCTAAGCTTCAGTCTTTTGACAGATCTATAAACTTAGCATCTTGTGGCACTTTGTTCCAGTTTAAAAAACCAGACCAGCAGTTATAACATTCAGATAATTTTTTGTCTATACGAAACAAGATTATGTGGATCATATATATATGGGACTCATGAGTCCAAGCCCATGGATCACATGTATATCTCACGATGCACAATCACTCGAATTATATATGTAACTCATAAGACAAGGTCACATGGATCATACATGTGAGACTCAAATGTGTACATGGAGGGATTCACTTTTGAGGTCCTGTTGGAGACTCACGAAGGCTGACTCAATACAACTGACTCCAGCAGGGCCACAGAATCAGAGCACAATAACACTGACCATTACCCTCATGCTAAAGTATTTCAATACAAGTATGACTTCCTTTTTATAAATTATAAGCCAGATATGAGTGCCCCACACAGGACCTCCCTAACACCTGGGGCTTCATGGGTCTACCCAAAATTCTGCGGTTTGGTGGAGGACTGAGGTCAAGTTCATTAGATGTGAGAATCAGGATCAAGTTCATTCCTTGAGAACTGAGACCAAGTTTATAACTGGTCTGAGATGTAAACTGTCTCAGTTTACTTTACAACTGATTCACTAGTAGAGTCTGAGAGAAGACTCACTTGAGGATTCAGACCAGGCTCACTGGTGGAAACCTGAAATCATGCCCAATAGTGGATGATCACAACTTGGCTCAGAGGTGGAAACCTGAAACCAGGATTGTCTCCATTTGAGTCGATAGCAGTATTGTTCCTTGATTCTGCAACCTGCTTGCTGTGACCATACTGACCTGAGCAATGTCCAAGACAATAAGTGAAGGCTGGCAAAGCTTCACACAAAACACCTCATAAGCAATACACTTCAGAACAAGACATGTGTGTCTCACTATAATGCTCTGAAGATCATAAAATAGTTCGTGATTGACTTGTAAAGGTTAACCTTCAGTAAATGGCTGAAAATGCTTCATATATGCATACATAAGTATGTCATTCACAGTACATTTTAAATACATTATATAATGGAAAGGCCAGTGAAGCATATAAAATGTTTACCAATATCTCTTCATATTTGAGCACCTTGTGCATCCTCAAGCTTGTCCACCAATCCACTGAATTCATCTAATAATATAAGATAAAGATGTCTAGGGTATTTTCAGGACACATCATCCTGTATACAAATCATGATTTTACATAAATGATTCATACACAAACTTTAAACCTTTGCCAGGGAAAAAGCAAGAAACCGATCACATGACTTAGGACTCAAAGGAGGTTTTGGTCAGTATTTGTTGACCACGGTACTCAATGAAATATTTTTTGTTAAATTATAAATTCTGAGTACTTACTACATCAGTTTATTAACAAATAATTGTTTTCTCTGACTTTTTTGGCAACACCTTTTCCCCACCAAACCACCATTTAAAATGTAGATATATATCTATATGGTTTTAAGTAAAATGTAAACTACATGTATATTAGCATTATAAAACAAAAACACTATAAATATCAATAAACAAACACATATTAAATACTGCTGTACAATACTGAATAATAAATCTGTAATATGATTGTAATAAACAACTGTACAATAAAACAGCTTGAATTATAGAAACACATGAGAGCACGGCAGAAGTAACGCATTGTGGACCTAAATACTAGAATTCCTAGTAATGAGACATGACCCCTAGATAATACTTCACACAAATCATCTTCATGTGCTCACTGCCAGAGCAACAATGTTCATACCAAACACTGCTCCTGGGTCAGGTAGTAATAGCAGCAGTAGCAGTAGCAGCAGCAGCAGAGGGCTCTTGGCATCTACATGGTATTCTCAGATTCAGAGACTGGTGTGGGTGAAGTTGGTGGTGTTGCTGTTGTCTGACAGGTCGTTAACATTTGGCAGTGGTGATGGATGGTGGGTGATGGTGGTTGAGGAGGAAGTACACGAGCTCAATATATTGTCGATTGTCATATATATCCTGATATGACATCAGTGGTGCTCATGTTATTGGGACTGATTGGTAACCGACATGAAGGACGGGTTCAATTTCTCTTTTTTTTTTCTGCTGCAGACAACAGAAGCTTAGGGACATATCCCAACACATGTCAGTACCAGTCTTTTGTCACCTGCTGAAGACAGGCACCAACATTTCCTGCTGCAGTCTTGAAGAGAGGCATGAACAAGCTAAGGAAGAGACGACTCAATGATGTACAAGCATCTTCCAAACTGTATTGAAATATATCAAAGGCTAATAATTTCCAACTTTTATCACATACGAAAAGCTAATGCTGGTCACTATTGGAATGTTGAAAGAAATGTCTTTGGCATTCAGGAATTGCAAAATATTGTTACTCTGCAGCAGAAGAGTAATCTTTGCTGTGAATAACTAACAAAGTTAGTCCAGAGAGGCATTTTAACATTACTTTCCTACAGGAGAGTAATGTTATGGTCTCGGTCAAGGCGGCGACGAGCACGGTGTGGCACCTTGGCCATAATATCTGAAGGGATGGGCAGGCCAGGACGTGGGGCAGCGTTCACCTGGTAGAAAGTTTGAGTATTGCTGTGCCGATGACCCCAAAGTACTGCCTCCCTACTTCTGCAAAAGGAAGGCAGTTAGCTGCTCAATAGAAATGAAAGAAAAATAACATCTGTACTTAGCCTACACCTATTACATAAGGATACTTGTTCTTTATTTATAAAAGGAAAGAACAGAAGAACATTAATAAAATCAAATATAGAAGAGAGATGTTATGCATCCTGGTAGGTCAGAGACTAGACTGCTAAAGAATCTTTCATGTTACATGCTTTTAACATTTAACACATAGTCCAACTACAGAACAAACATTACAATGAATAATAATAACGATTATTATTATTACTGTATTGTATTATTATTAATTATTATTATTATTATTATTATTTACCGAGTGTTTTTGGGCATGTTTCTTTGTACAGTATGTGATTCTGTACCTCTATTCACCTAGCTATAAATAAATAAATGGGAGTTAGGTTATTATTATTATTACCCAAATTTACCTGAGGGTAAATTACCATCTCTCTAGTGACCTTGACAAAGACAGGTAGCAGGCAGCTTGTCAAAAGGGACATTTGTCCCTTTTGACAACAACATTTTATCCATCAACATTTTTATCATTTTATCCATCTGAATTTTGAATTGCAGCAATGATTTGGCATTTGTGGCTTCAGTGGACCATTGCGTGTTCTATCTTCTTGTTTCTATGTTGGTTCAGTGTCTTGAAGTGGGTAGAATGTAGTTATGTGTTAATTGGCTGTTGATTGCTGGTTTTGACTTTTTGATGTGTAGGGCCTTGCTGATGTCGAGTCTCCTGTTGTCGTTGTATCTGTCGATAATTTCTGTGATGCTTGTTAAGATTTCTCTGGTGATGATCTGGTTGTGTGAGATTATATGCTCCTTGATGGAGTCCTGTTGCTTGTGCATTGTTAATCATCTATTTAGAAATGTTGTTGTCTTGCCTATATACTAAGATCTTTGAGGCTGACAATCCCCAAGTGAGCATGTGAAGGTATAGACGACGTTAGTCTCTTTTAAGGTGTTCTGTTTGGTGTCTGGAGAGTTTTTCATAAGTAAGTTTGCTGTCTTCATGTTTTTGTAGTATATTGTTAAGTGCATCTTCTGATTTGTGTCTGTGGGGATAACGTTCCTATCAATAATATCTTTCAGTACACTTTCCTGATTTATGAGCCATCGAAAAGAAGTTCCTGTAAAACAATCTGATAGGAGGTGTTGAGTTAGTTGATTCTTCAGAGGTTGCACGACGTGTCACCTTTCTTTTAATGACGTCTTTGACATAACCGTTAGAGAAGCCATTATTGACAAGGACCTGCCTAACTACAGAGTTCGCTGTCGACCTCCTTCCAACCAGAGCTGTGAGTGAGAGCTTGGTCGACGTAAGTGTTGACGACACTCCTCTTGTACCTGTCCGGGCAGTCACTATTGGCATTAAGCACATTCCTATGTTCGTTTCCTTAGTGTAGACTGCAGTGTGGAAGCCTCCATGAATTTTGCAACTGTTACATCTAGAAAGGGCAGCTTCCCATCACTCTCCATCTCATAAGTGAAACTTAACACCGAATTTTGCTTGAATGCCTCCTTCAACTGCTAAAAATGTCTGACATCAGGTACCTGCATAAATATGTTGTCAAAGTACCTGCATAAATATGTTGTCAAAGTACCTGCAATATATGTCAGATTTCAAGTCCATGTCAACTAAGACCCTCTGCTCTATGGCATCCATGTAAAAATTCACAAACAGGATGCCTAGGGAAGAACCCATGGCGACACCATCTACTTTTTTATACATATGTCCATCAAGACGCAAGAAGGGTGCCTCTTTAGTGCAAGCTTCGAGTAACTTCCTCAATATGCTCTCTGGTATGTCCAAAGGGATACAAGCCCTTTGTGGTGTGTAGGACAAACATATAAATTATGCCACTAGCTCTCCACATATGTCAGTTGCTTAATTTAGCAACTGTACTTTTGGTCGATCTCGAACCCATTGATGATGTGACGACTTATATTGATTTTTGTAACTAGCTCATCAACTTGCTTAGTTAAATGAATTATGGGGTTCAGTCCCTGAGCCCATTATGTGCCTCTGTAACCCTTTCTACTACCGCCCACAAGATGGGTATGGGGTGCATAATAAATTAACTAAACTCATCATATACTGACCGTAAGGTGACCTCCATGAGTTCTCGGTTGTGTTTGAAGTCCTGATGGGCTGTGGAAATGAGTGCCATATCAAGGGCTGCAGGCGTAACAGCAGAGAGGACGCTGTATGACCACTGCAAAAAGGCATCCCCTCCGTCCCCTCCCTCAGATACCTCAATTGCTCGTTCCACTGCTGCTTGCACATCCTCCAAGCCAGACAATCCCAGCCGCCACTAGGCAGTAGATAATTAATGTTAAACATTTATATATGTCATCAATGACTAGATTAACTGAATGTTAAGTTTTTCAGAAGCGGGCAGTAATCCAAGAAAATAATGGAAAAATAACACAGCCTTTTTAATTAAACAAAACAAGATCTAATCAAGATAAGAAATAGTGTATGTGCTTTTCAAATTGAGCCTTAAAAGCCCTATTGTGAATCTAAAAACTCAAGTCATCAATATATCTTCACACATGCAAACATGGATGTCTGAAAATCTTATCTATTTTTGTTAGCATAGAGGTTAACCAACTTACGAGGGAATAGATGAGCTGTGGGTTGGCTGGTGCTGCAGAAGAGAGCAGCAGGTGCAGAACGGTGTCAGAGTGCTTCTGAGTGTACAGGGTCAGCACCTCCCAACCCTCTGCTGAGCCATTCACATCATGCTCACCTGCTCATAAAACATTTGGTACATTATCGCATATTTTCTTAGCTGTATAACTAATTACCAAATGTATATTATGAATATAGTGTATATGAATATAGTGTGTGCACATCATGTTTGGAGGAGGAGAGCAATCAGTTCTCTGGTTCTTCCGTGCCACTGATTCACTTCAGCCATAAAAGACCTGTATGACCTACTGGGGACCAAAGTCATAACCTGGCCCCTTTCACACAGGCACGGGGAGCAGGGTGATTGTTACAATCGCCTTTGCTAAGAAAACATTCAGAAATTAAGAAAATCAATACAGACAACTGCAAAGTTAACAGAAAGCAAGGCAGTGAAACAGTCAAATGCCTCCACAAATGATCCACTCAGAAACTAGGTCAGACTCCCCTAGTTATGGCTGGCCATTAACAGGTGGCAGCAAAACCAGGAGCTAGACTTCCACATCATATAACCTTAGTCCAGAGCTAAAAGATCACAAACTGATGCACCTGGTAGGAGGGAGCAGGGAGCCACTGATGCCCTACAAGAAAGAGGTATTTTATTATGTTCAATGCTGGGTTTCTGGAGGAGGGCCAAACAGTGGCACATGAAGTTATCAACACAGGATGAACTGGGGACATTGACAAGATAACGAATCACCTGGACGTTGCTAGGTCTTCAAAACCAAAATCACCATGGGGGTTTTGGAGGTCTAAATTACACAAAGATTTAATTAAGAACGTTAGAATAAAAAAAATGGAAATAATGTTTTCTTGTGCACCACAGGGTTGTCAAATATAACAGGTGCATAGTACCAGAGTTAATGACATTGGGGACAACCTGAGACAACCTGCCTTGGAACAGTAAACCAAGAAAATAGGATCCACAAACAAGGCATCCCTTATACAATCCAGGTGGCATGCATGCAGTGATGAACCTCTGCAACCAAACCCAACAAATATGCACACCTGGCTGAACAAACCATGCATCAATAACCAAAAGGATCCCTCTGGAAGCCAAAACTCTCATTGTTCATGAAAAGATAAAGAAGGCTGCAAACAGAAACTGTCCACCAGGGCCAAAGGACCAAAACTCCTCCTGCTTTTGGAGAATAACATAGTCTCCGTGATGTAGTGGTAAGACACTCGCCTGGCGTTCCACGAGCGCTATGTCATGGGTTCGTATCCTGGCCGGGGAGGATTTACTGGTCGCAAATCCTTAACTGTAGCCTCTGTTTAACGCAACAGTAAAATGTGTACTTGGATGAAAAAACGATTCTTCGCGGCAGGGGTCGTATTCCAGGGACCTGCCCGAAACGCTACACGTAATAGTGGCTGTACAAGAATGTATCAACTCTTGTTACATTAAAAAAAAACTCTTGTACTCAAAAAAAACAAACAAAAAAAACATGAAGCTACCCAACTTAACAGCCGGGAGTGAGAGCCAATATGAACAGATCTTTTAAAAAAAGGCATCACAGACTAAAGGGGTGACCAAGAACCATTAACTATAGGTTGGCCAGAAGGCAACATCCTAAGACCTCTCCTATTTCTTATATACTGTACTGTACATCAATGATTTGTCAAATGTCTCTAATGTTCTTAAATCTGTTTTATTTGCTGATGATATTACCTTCATATATTCAAACCCCAATCCACACACAATACATAAAATTGTAAACAATGAGCTAAAAAAAAAAAGTCCACTCATGGATGTCAACAAAGATACTCGCACTATACCTAAATAAGACCTACTACATTTTATTTGAAAACAAATTGTCAAACCACATACATCTTCAGATAGACAACATCAACATTAATAGTAAACATGAGGTAACGTTCCTTGGCCTATACTTAGACAAGAGACTTAACTTCAGTACTCACATAAGGCCCATACCCAAAAAGCCAGCATTGAATGTAATTTATTCATTTATTTATATATTTATTTATTTATTTATTTATTTATTTATGTATTAATTTATTTATTTATTTATATATTTATTTATTTTATTTACTTATTTATTTATATATTTATTTATTTATTTATATACAAGAAAGTACATTGGGTTTATGAGAGTACAGAGCATTGAAGTTTTACATTCTTGTAAAGCCACTAGCACGCATAGTGTTTCGGGCAGATCCTTAATCTAACAGATAATTTTAAGAAGGTAATTTCTAGCAAAATTAAAAAAAATTACAGGTATATTGTAAATGTATAAAAATACATTGTAATAAAGTATAAAAATGCATTGTAAGAAAGTATAGAAAACCAGCACTGAATGTAATGAAACGCCATTTTCTGGGCGAGACCCGGAGGCTTCCCGGGCTGATATGGATATCATTAGACTTTGGCATCAGTCAGTGTGAAAGTAGTTCTAGGCCTACCGGGGACCACAGTCAAAACCTTGCCCCCTCAGAGAGGCACAAGGAGCAATAGCCCATAGAAATGCACATGGGATTTGGAGCATTCTATATCTGCCATCAACTGGGACAGGCACCCAGAAAGGTAAACACCCAAAACAAACCCCTATTCTGGTTAAAAGAATAGGGGTTAGGGGAATAGGGATCCCTTGTGTCCGCAGGCACGAGGGATCGTGCCTGCGGGCACGATCCCTTGTAACTAAAACAGCTGAAAGGGAAGGGACCTGGACGTGCAACTGCAGCACACCAACCTCACGAGGAGGCACAGGGGCAAACAAGTAAGCATTAATACCCTTATCATTAATTTATGTTATATTGTAAAATCTTCTGATCTTATTCTTACTATAATCAATTGTTCTAGGGAATTAATAGAACAATGTTACCCACCAGACTCCATCAGCTGGTTCTCAATGGACTGGCCACCAGGTACTGAGGCGTCTTGGTCTGCATCCCTTGTCGTCAGCTCCATTAGGCCTCTTACAGCCTCTGCCAGTTGTCGGTCTCCATTCTCTTTTGTTTCAATAAAAGAACTAAGATCTAGCACACTAATTTCTGACTCCTCGCTTCTGGATGTATCAGATTCATCTTTAAAATCCATCATTTGTGACCTCAAGTTTACCAGATTACCATTTGGACTATCTTTACCATTTGAATCGTAGTCTTTTGAAAGGTTCCCATTAATTTCTCTAGTAATTTTTGGCTCATCATTGCTCAACCCATCCAATTCTATTTCATGGCTTGGTCTATTAATCTTGTCAGGGGCAAACTGCAAATTCAATTTATTTTTGGTGTTTTTAATGTTAAGCTCACTGTCAGATTGAATGCCATCCTCAAAACCACTTTCACTTTTTTCAGAGTCATATAGAGTTACCGTACCATTCTTGAGGATTGGTTTGGGTAAATCACTTGTGTTATTAAGTAGCTTATTATTTGGAGTATTTCTCTTGTCTACATTATAACGTGGCAACCCTGTTATTCCTACCCCAAACCCACGTTTTGATGTCAGATTGATTCCATTATTGGCCGTGTCATGGTTTCTAGATAAACCATTACGACCACCGGGCATCCTACGTGGTGTAGAGTGTGAAGAAGCTGGTGGTCTAGCCTTGCGCCCAACCAGCACTTTGTAGCGTAGGTCAGGTGAGTTTCCACCCACATCTGGTAATGTAGCTGCCACACGGATTTTTCTGGGTGATCCGGGTAAGCTCTGTGAGGGACGTGACTCCAGGTCACTACATCCACTTATCCTTGCCATGAGACTCGGGCCTCTAGGGGGATGCGGTCTGAGCTTTTGTGATTCTTGGGGGCTTGAGCACCTCTCTAGGGAGGTCTCTGTGGCAGTTGGCAGAGTGGAGGGGTAGGAATGGAGGGACTGGCGGGAGAGCAGGACGGAGCGGAGAGATGCTAGGTCCATGGATGCTGCTTCACTGTGCAGTCCACGTTCTCCGCGGCGCGGCATGGACTGGAATAAAAGCCAAGTACAGTAATGTTTCTTATTCATAGTTTATGATATATAATTTGCATTACAAAACAAAATCATGAAATTATAACAAGTACCTATAAGAGCACTTTCTCTGAAGTTAGATCTTACCTGTAGCTTAGCAGAGAATACAATAATGATAAATATTGTTCACGAATTTTGGGCATGCAGTATGTATTTATATACCAATTTTTCAGCTCAAATTTGCAACCCAATTTAAATTCTGTCCAGAAGGAATATTCATGATAAAGCCACATTAATTTGTGACTTTACACACTACATAAATACTGCATTTACTAAATACCCACTGTAATTTTATTTTCTTTATTTTTATAAATAAAATGTTATTAAGTAGGATGTTTCAAAAATGTTAAAGTAGTGTCATATGTAAGTCTAGTTCCATAATATTGAGCAAAAGCACTTGGCCTGGACGGTAGACGGACGGTCTCGCTTCATGCAGGTCGTCGTTCAATCCCCAACCGTCCAAGTGATTAGGCACCATTCCATTCCCCCGTCCCATCCCAAATCCTTATCTTGACCCCATCCCAGTGCTATATAGTCATGATGGCTGGGCGTTTTCCCCCGCTGATAAACCAATCAATCCTTAATATTGAGGTGTATTGAGATACCCTATACATTACACTTATTTATATACAATATGCCATACAGGGTAGGACTAAGAGTGAACACTTTTTGTTCATATTTCACTATGCTTTAGAAGTGTTCAGACTCACTATTATCCCAAGTGATGAGGGAGTGTATGGTCTCTGTGGGTGAGTAAGTAAATGGTCACCTGAGGGAGGTGGATGAGGGAGTGTATTGGTCCACTGTGGGGAGGTGGGTGAGGGACCGAATGGTCCCCGTGGGGAGGTGGGTGAGGGACCGAATGGTCCCCGTGGGGAGGTGGGTGAGGGACCGAATGGTCCCCATGGGGAGGTGGGTGAGGAAGCATCTGGTCCCCGTGAGAAGGTGGGTGAGGGACTGAATGGTCCCCGTGGGGAGGTGGGCGAGGGACCATATGGTCCCTGTGTGGAGGTGGGTGAGGGACTGAATGGTCCCCGTGGGGAGGTGGGTGAGGGACTGAATGATCCCCATGGGGAGTTGGGTGAGGGAGCATCTGGTCCCTGTGGGGAGGTGGGGTGAGAGAACATGTGGTCCCTGTGGGGAGGTGGAGTGAGGGAGCGTGTGGTGCCTGTAGGAAGGTGGGCGAGAGATGTTACGAACCAGTTATATCCAGTGGAAGGAAATAACTTACTTGTAACTTTCTTTAGAAGTAATGAAGTAGAGTAGCATTTAAGATGGATACGATGCTAGGCATTGCTTTATTGTGTCTATTAAAATATATGTTTATTATACATGTGTAGGAGGAAAGAGTACATGTATTCTTAGTAGGTGTGTTGTATGTATTTAAATCAGTAAGGGCACGTTGAGCATAGCCAGTTGAAGCAAGTTGGTAACGTAAGCTGCTTGAGCGCCGTGACCTGAGGTCGGGAATTAGCAACTGCCAACCTGGGCAATGAAACGAGGTAATGGGAATATACAAGTATGTTGCTTGCAGTTACTTGACCCAGAGATGAATTAACAGAGATCTGGAGTCGTACCGAAATGGTGTGAATGTAGGCGGTTAAATGTTTTAGCCTCCTATTGTAATGTTGAAATAGTAGGATTATTACTGTAGCGAGTTAACCTTATACTCGCTCCATTATCTCATCATCTTAATGGCATAACTAATTAGCACTAACTACACAAGCTATAATCCTATCCCTATTTACAGGTAACAGTTCTTCTATCCTCCTATCTTATTGGAGGGAGCTGAGGTGTAGTCACCATACATAAGCAAGCGATGTGAGAATAGAAAACTGTACAATTTCCAGTCAAGAATGTAGCACTCGGCGTATGCAGTTCTAATCGACCCCAAGACACTACAGCTTCGACACAGAACAGACAGCAAACTAGGACTGCATCCAGCTACAACGCTCTCCCACATAGAGCTCTGCGACTCCGGCCTCACTCAGCTCTATGCTCTGCTCCAAGCTCCGTCTGAACGTCTACGACAATGCCAACAACCGACTACTGTAATCAAGACTACTAAATAAGTATGAAACTCACTAAACACTGTGTATCTAATCTACTCAGCAACGTAACATAATCGTATGTTACATTACCTTAAGTGCAAAAGTCATGCCTTAATGACGGCTGGTGGCCATCATGCTGTTTTACACATGTTAATTATTCAGTACAATGATGTACCTATTAGTTTCAGCAAGAAAACCTTTTTATGTGTTAGGATATTCATTCTTCTACCCATTGTGAGGGTATGGCCATTTAGTAGTATGATGTAGAGAAATGACAAATGTTTTATCATGCATGTGGCAGGCAAATAGTTGCACGAGGCCTACCACTTGTCATGTGAAAGTGTTCGGTTTAAATATGCTGTAGCTAGTAGTACTGTTTAATTTTTTAAATATTGTTCAACTAATTATCAGCTTATATCTGCTTAAAAGTTCTAAGCAAATGAATGAGAAATTAGTCTAGTAGATATTTATTTATTTATTTATTTATTAGATAATTACTGGGTAAATAGGAGTCCAAACACAATGATGTCGGAACATGGCGTCTGTCGCAAATATATGGAGAGCGCACCTGGCTATCATTAAGAGTCCCCGAATCTTGCAGTAACCACCCTGAAGCGATCAACACAGCCACTCTTCTGGTCAAAAAAGGTGTCCAGCAGCTGGACACCCTCATAAATACTGTCAAGCAGTATCCTCCCCGCGATAGCAGCCTGACGATTAAATGCGACCTCAGAACACTGAATAGATTTACTGAACAAAAAATTGTACCACTTACGGGCTACTTATGCCCGTGCCTCCTCTTGGGTGGCTTAATCTTTATCAATCATTCATCAATCGGCTATCGTTTTCAGTTTTTCCAGGTGCGTGGTCATACGGATGAATCTGTGATCTCCATATAGCCTGTTGGCTTTTAGATTAAGTGTTTGTTAATGCTTTAAGTAGGATATAGGTTCATTAATATGTTATACATTAGTGGAAGTGAATAGCCTTTCATTGATAGATTCTCCAGTTGAGTGGGGACTTATAGTATTGCATTTCATAAATAATTTGTTGCCTGTGTCTATGTCTCCTTCTGAGCAAACCCCGTGGTGTTCTTAAGTATATGCTGTTTTAATATCGTTTATAAGTGTATGTAGCGATCTGTGAATACACTGAGGAAATTGCGTTAGTCAGTGTTTCATTGGATCTCTCGTTTTCTGTGCCAAAGTATAGAGTCGGAGAAAATTCAGTGGGTGACTTAACTATTCCCTGTGTCGGAAAATCCTACACCATTTAATATATCATACAGACAGATAATAATTGCTGCTGTATTACCAACAAGTTACCCATAGAAAACGTAACTTGTAGTGGAATTACTGTCTAAAGAAAACGGGATATCATCACCACATACTATTATAAATCACCACCTATTATGGTGGGAATTATTCTTAAATACATTAGTCTTTGGACTTTACCATCATAAAAACATCTCATATAAATTAACTTAATTATCAGTATTAAAGTAGAGTAAATGTGACCCTTCTATCACTTATTGACATCTGGACAATGTAGGCCAGGCGTCAGTGGGGAAGGAGGTCAGCCATTGTATATACTGAGACCAGAGGCTCACAGGAGCAAATACGGCTCCTGTTAATTTTACTTGGACGTAGTGTTATGGAAACCAAAGGTGTACCATCTTCAACACGCTGTCAACAAATCAAGTTAAGTGTTCTTTCCGAAACCCGTATATCTATCATTAGTGGCCATTAATGTCATTGGGTAGGGTGAGCCGGTTAGAACGCGAGGCAGCATCAAACTAAAGGTAATTAAGCCAGGTCTTCATGTTCCATGTATAGTGTTTTCTCTGATATAGCTTGTCATATATAGGTATCTGGCTTCACAGTTAGCGCCCTTTTGACAGGTCAAGACGAGGAAGCATGCTTTGTACATCAGTTACTAGGGTGATGGAAGCTACCTCAAAGAGGGAAAATGTGGCGTCTACAACCTAGTTATACCTGGTGGACTAAAGCTTGCTGTACAAATAAGATAAGGAACCTTTTCAATGTATGTAGTTAATACTGTAGTTTGATTGGCTGCATATATATAAATTAAATTTAATAACCCCCCCTAATGTGTAGAGGATCGATTTGTGAGATTAAGAGATTATTGCAGAAATACAGTCCACTCATTATCATACAAATTGCTATCGAAGTATATAAATTAACGTAAATATAAATTCATATAATTTAAATAAATATAAATCTCACAGGTCGGTTCCCACACCCTGAGCCTTAATTTTAGCGATCCCTGACAAGGGAGCGTGTGGTCCGTGTGGGGAGGTGGGTGTGGGAGCGTGTGGTCCGTGTGGGGAGGTGGGTGTGGGAGCGTGTGGTCCGTGTGGGAAGGAGGGTGAGGGAGTGTGTGGTTAGTGTGGGGAGGTGGGTGAGGGAGCGTGTAGTCAGTGTGGGGAGGTGGGTGAGGGAGCGTGTGGTCAGTGTGGGGAGGTGGGTGAGGGAGCGTGTGGTCAGTGTGGGGAGGTGGGTGAGGGAGCGTGTGGTCAGTGTGGGAAGGTGGGTGAGGGAGCGTGTGGTCACCTTAGGGAGGTGGGCACGGAGCATGGCGTGGGTCTCCTTGGGCACGTGCAGCCTCAGCAGCTGCACGCCACCTGGCAGCTGGTACTCCACACGGCGATCCTCCAACACCTCCTTCTGTCAATGACAATCAATCGGTAAATTTTTGTTTACCATTCACTTATTATATCTGTCAAGCTGCAAAATAACATTTGTGTTGCTTTAATTACAGAATTGTGATTATGTTGAGGCAATATAACATTGATAATGATGTTGGGCCGTACCAGATATTATTTCATTTAAAATTAGGGAAAATTGAGATGACTTTTTATTTTTAAATTAAAAAAAAATACCATTTTATGTTTAGAGTACAGTTTTGAATATTTCAATAGTTCTTGAAAACATATCCTTTTAGCATGAAAAATGCAGCAAGGAAAACTTATCAGATAAAATTGTAATTGTTTTTATATTAAAAATGATGCATAAATATTTGTTTATGAGATTATATATTTTAAATACCTTTTGTTTTGCTGTAGCATTACAATGTCTACATAAATTATGACATTTCTCGGAACAGTGTACCGGAAATCTATTGCCAATGCATTTGGTCCATCTCAGTAAATCCGTCACAATGAAACTATTATATAGCATATATAAATATTTTTATATACAAGACCTTATTGCAAGGCATTTCAGTCCCAAAATATTATGGTAAATTGTAATTATTGTTAATAATTAATCTTCTCTAATTCAGGTGTTTTGTGAACAAAACATTAATTGCTGTTATAACATATTAACATATGCTGGGAGCAGAGCCTCCTCACCTTCTGGTTGTGTACGGGAATGGAGGCCAACACGTGCGCCAGATCACTGTTCATCTGAGAGTTGAGTACCCTGTGGGAGGACAAGGACCGTCAGTACCCTGTGGGAGGACAAGGACCGTCAGTACCCTGTGGGAGGACAAGGACCGTCAGTACCCTGTGGGAGGACAAGGACCGTCAGTACCCTGTGGGAGGACAAGGACCGTCAGTACCCTGTGGGAGGACAAGGACCGTCAGTACCCTGTGGGAGGACAAGGACCGTCAGTACCCTGTGGGAGGACAAGGACCGTCAGTACCCTGTGGGAGGACAAGGACCGTCAGTACCCTGTGGGAGGACAAGGACCGTCAGTACCTGTGGGAGGACAAGGACCGTCAGTACCCTGTGGGAGGACAAGGACCGTCAGTACCCTGTGGGAGGACAAGGACCGTCAGTACCCTGTGGGAGGACAAGGACCGTCAGTACCCTGTGGGAGGACAAGGACCGTCAGTACCCTGTGGGAGGACAAGGACCGTCAGTACCCTGTGGGAGGACAAGTACTTTGAGTACCTTCATGCCTCATGGGGATATATCACCTGGCAATGTTGCCATGTTTCTACTTCTCAAACACTTTCATCTTTAGAGTGCATATTCTCTCTGCTTGTGGTCGCAGTTTGTTTCCCTCCTGGCACCTGTTCCCATTTCAAATACCTTAAACCTCCTGGCCCTGAACTCTTGAAGCCATTTTTTGGATCAACTCTGTAGCTTTTCTAAATCATTTTGGAGAATCTTACAATCCATATCTGTCATAACTCTTCTCATTAGTTTTGCATCGTCTGCAAACATCGTCATATAAAGACTCAACTCCTGTAAAGAGGTCATTAACATAAATGAGAAATAGTACAGGTTACAGCACCGATCCTTCAGGTACTTGCTGCCCTACAGCAGTCCAACGTCTCGCACCTCATTGTGACTCTTGACTCCCGTCTGTTAGGTATTTCCTGACCCATGTCAGTGATCTTCCACTTTCTCTCATGATGTACGTTCTTGGCAGGTACCGTCTCAAAGGCTTTTCAGCAGTCCAAAAATACTTTCCAGTTTTCTCTGTTCTGTCTTATTTTCATTACTTAATCATAAAACGCCGTACACGCTCGTTTGGTATGATTTCCATTCCCTAAAGCCTTGTTAATGTTTGTTTACATACCTAATTCTCTCTAGGTGTGTAACTAGTCTTGTTCTTATTATTCTTTTGAGTATTTTGCGCTTGTCAAGTCTCATGACTTAACAAGCGTCAAAAGTGAACTGGCTATGTATAATCAGAAGCGTGTGAAAATACACAACCCACCCAACTTTTAGGGGAAGCGTCAGTATCGCGGGGCTTTACATTTCAGTAAACCCTCGCAATTTTGACGCTGTGGTCGATAGCATCACAATCGTGGTGTATTGAAGGTGAGGACAGGGAGAGCCGACACCCCTTACATTCACCCGAGCGTTAAATGTTGTTATACTACATGAATCGAGCCTAATACACCCAATGACAGATTCTGTGCCGAATTTTTCTGTGTGACCGACATGGGGTGGCAGGACGCTTTGTCCACTCTGATTGACTATTTGGACCCTTGTCAGGGTGAGTGATGGGCTGTTATTACAACAACAATGCATCCTGAATTATGTGCTTTGAATGACAGATATTACGTTAGTCGCAACAACAGGTTGGTGAGGCATGTTGTTGTACTGACTTCAGTAGAGGCAGCATGTTGCACTGACTGGAGGTGAGGCATGTTGCTACACTGACTGGAGTTACCTGCTTGATGGGGTTCTGGGAGTTGTTCTACTCCCCAAGCCCGACCCGAGGCCAGCCTTGACTTGTGAGAGTTTGGTCCACCAGGCTGTTGCTTGGAGCGGCCCGCAGGCCCACATATCCACCAGAGCGCAGTTGGTCCGGTACTCCTTGGAGAAAATGATCTAGTTTTCTCTTGAAGATGTCCACGGTTGTTCCGGCAATATTTCTTATACTCGCTGGGAGGATGTTGAACAACCGCGGACCTCTGATGTTTATACAATATTCTCTCCGATTGTTCCTATGGCACCTCTGCTCTTCACTGGTTCTATTCTGCATTTTCTTCCATATCGTTTACTCCAGTATGTTGTTATTTTACTGTGTAGATTTATGTCCTGGCCCTCCAGTATTTTCCATGTGTATATTATTTGGTATCTCTCTCGTCTTCTTTTTAGTGAGTACATTTGGAGAGCTTTGAGACGATCCCAATAATTTAGGGATCTAAATATCTTTATCTCGTATATGCATGCTTTATCTCGTATATGCATGCCATACATGTTCTCTGTACTCCCTCTATTTCAGCAATCTCTCCTGTCTGAAGGGGAAAGTGAGTACTGAGCAGTACTCAAGACGGGACAACACAAGTGACTTGAAGAGTACAACCATTGTGATGGGATCCCTGGATTTGAAGATTCTCGTAACCCATCCTATCAAGGTTGAGGCAGCATATGGCACTGACGGCTGGAGGAATGACGTGTCACACAGCCACCAGCTACTGAGTGACGTGTCACACAGCCACCAGCTGCTGAGTGACGTGTCACACAGCCACCAGCTGCTGAGTGGCCCAATAACCACGGCGCCACGGCGTGGTTGTCCACGGTGAGGTTGTCCACGGCGCCATGACATTATAATTAATACTAAGCGTTCATGTGCTCCTGAGACCAGTCACTTGCCCCTGTAACTAAGTTAAACATTTACCCCGAGGATACTTGTGTTTTAAATGTTAGTAGCGACAGTTATAATTGTTATATACCGCTACAGACTGCTGTAACGACCAACTTGAGGCAGGTCAGAGTTGTAACGTTGACGTATGAGAGTTGTAACCGGTAATATGTGGCAGTTGTACCCAGATATTACCTTCCCACTTCTGCCATGGAGCGGTGCAACCCTTTTACAACCAGCAGCTGAACTTATGTGAACACACATGAAAGAAAACTTCAGAATTATATTCGTTATATTATTTCATATTATACACAAACTGCGAACCCGTTATTTCAAGACACAATAATGAAAGAATTCATTCCCAGGTGTATTGGCGAGTGATATCACTTTAGAGGAGAACATTACCAGTGTTGAAGAGAGAGAGCGATACTACCTACAAATTAACAGGGTGAGAATAGCTTGAGCTACCTCATCCCTTTGTGTGTATTTTATCTCAATAATCTTATTTCAATTTCAACCTACAAATTGACGTAGTTTACGGTCCTCCGTGAGAGGCGCTCCCTCAGGGGTGGACCAGTGACCAAGTCTCACCTGTCTTTATGCATGGTGGCGCCGGCCAGGACCCCGGGTTGCTGCTGGCATATCTCCACCAGCTGCTGCGCCCTCAGGAACACTCCGCCCCCGCTCTGTTGATGGTCACGTAGATGTAGTGTGTGCGTAGAAAAACGTCCGAATGACGCAGAGCGTGCAGGTGAGGGAAGGGGGGGGGGGGGGACCTCGATATAAGCCTAACATGTATATATATCCACTAGCTGCCTGTCCCACAACACAATGCATTAACCTAACTAAATAACTTAAACACTTAATAAAACATAGAACTTACCCACCTAACATAGCCACCTAACATATACCATAAACTACAACACCAGCCATAAACTACAACACCAGCCATAAACTACAACACCAGCCATAAACTACAACACCAGCCATAAACTACAACACCAGCCATAAACTACAACACCAGCCATAAACTACAACACCAGCCATAAACTACAACACCAGCCATAAACTGCAACATCAGCCATAAACTGCAACACCAGCCATAAACTACAACACCAGCCATAAACTACAACACCAGCCATAAACTACAACACCAGCCATAAACTACAACACCAGTCATAAACTACAACAACCACCATAAACTACAACACCAGCCATAAACTACAACACAACCTTCCACTGGAACCAGCAGGTTCACAAAGTTATGTTAAATAAAATTCAATTTCAGAATGGTAAACATTATCAGACCTAGAGCATAGAAGCCTAACCGTGATATTTTTGTATTAATTTTATAAATATTTACAACACATTGACTACCGTGAACACAATCACTCCTACGAAATGCATTTGACTAAATAAATTCGTTATTTATACTTTATTAAAGTAATCTCTAATTATCTAAATGGAATTAGAGACTTCCATTAACTAATGATATACAATGTATCTTTATACGAATATTGAATTCACTCAAGGACATTGGCAGATATTCTGGTGCTGTACCCAGAGTATACTAGTGCAGGCTGGTGGCTGCACTCACATGTTATCCCTCACTCCATGCACGTCTGTAAACATCCTGTTAGATGTTTACAGATGATATTAGGTGAACTTATAGCTCGCTCTTGATCTATAATCCTTACAGATTAATTTTTAATCGCCATCTTTGATGGGGACCTTTTACAAGCCGCCTGCTTCCTGTCCCCGTCAAGACCACTAGGGAGATGGTGACCCTCATACATTCAGACGAAGAAGGATTCATGTATGAGGGCCAAGGCGAGCAGTATGGTGTTGATGGCAGCAGGTACCCACCTTGGGCAGCTGGACGGAGGGAACAGCATTGAATATCCTGTGTAGGAGCTTTAGTGCCTCCTCCTCCTCCTCCTCCTCCCTCTCCTCCTTCCGGCTGGTCCCGCCGCCATTTCCGGCCACGCCGCTGCTCTCTGAGGCCTCAGTGGCAGGGGAAGGCGTACTGGAGGAGGTACTGTAAGGTGACTCCAAGGGCTCGTCCTCCCCGAAGTCTGCGTCAGGCAGGGCTTGTGGCAGCAGGGCGTCCAGGACCTCAGTCAGCCTAGGGTAGGGAGACACTGTATAGTAACGATGGAGAAGGTCTTATTATTACTGCGTTACTAACACCAACGGTCGCCATGAACCCCGTTCTCTTGCACCCAAGCAACCCTCTAAACCTGACCTACCGGATACCCTCGCCGCCACCCTGCACAAGGGCGAGGCTGGCGAGCACGTCCCATGGACGCCCTACATATTATAAACATTAAACATGTGACCTGATCTTGATATCAGGCGTCATAAATAAAAAATAAATTAGGAAGAACAAACATAGGACGTAAAATATGTGATTTTTATATACATAAAAAAACCAGCGTTGAATGTAATGAAACGCCATTTTCTGGGTGAGTCCCGGAAGCTCCCCAGGGCTATCCATGGCTGATATAAATACCCTTAACTATTTTGCATCAAATGTGTAACGATGTGGGTGAAGTTCTAGGCCTACCAGGGACTACGAGCCAGAACCTGGCCCCCTCCTCTCAGAGGCACGAGGAGCAATGGCCCATAGAAATGCACATGTGATTTGGAACATCCGATATCTGCCAACGACCGGGAGAGGCACCCAGTACGGTAAGCACCACAAAATAAACCAATATTCTGATTAACAACGAAAATCGTCAAGCGAGTGGACAGAACTCCCCCCCCCCCCGAAAAAAAACGAGCAAAAAAGCATGAAGTCACACGAGCCGCGCCGCATGTCTGGCAGCTCCCCCCTCCCTGGAAGGGGGAAATGGGAGCCCCAGACCCCCGCGCCGGCGATCCCCACCCCAGTTCTGAGGCTGGATATCAAAAAACGCTAAAAAACGCCGACTGGAGGGAAGGAGGGTTGCCGGGGAGCCTCCGGGACTCACCCAGAAATTGGCGTTTCATTACATTCAGTGCTAGTTTTCTGGGGAGCCTCTACAGCTCCACAGAGCTACTTCACCAAAGACAACAGAATAAAAGGAGACTTACCCGGGAGGCGGTCGGTGCTCCACTCCTCAACTCCAAATCGAGACAACGGGCTGCAACTGCCGACCCAAAGCAACACAGGCCCGACTGAGCCTAGGAATGTTCACGAGGAAACGTGCAACTAGGACCCCTGTTCGACCGCCAAAAACCCCATGCCCGAATGTCAGCCCAAGACATATTGCCAAAGGCAGCAGCAAGAGCAGCAAACTTACGAATGTCATGGGCACGGGGATAGACCGCAGGCTGACTGAATTTAATTACCCTGCAGACGACCTGAGAGACCCAAACCCGCAAACAGGGAAGAAGGGGAAACTGGATCAACCCAAAGTGCATTCCCGAACACACAAAAGCTGTGGCACGCAGATAACGGCGGAGGGCCGCAACCAGATACAACACATGATGAACCCCCGGCCTGACAAACCAAGCATCAACAACCCAAGGACCCCTCTGGAAGGCAGCAGTCACATTCTTCGCCAGAAAAGAGGGAGATGGCTGTAGACGAACATACCTATGACCACGACCAAAAGAGCAAAAACCTTTGCGCCAGAGAAGAGCATAAAGCTCCACCACACGACCCCCAGAGGCTAATGCCAACAGAAAAAGAGCCTTGGTAAAACAATCCTGAAAAGAAAAGGGGCCACAGAAACCGAGGAGAAGAAAGATAGGAGAGCACACTGTCCAAAGACCAGGACGACTCAGTCGGCACATGATCAGGCCGGAGGTGAAACAACGCACGGAGGTGAAACAACACACGAGACCGCTTGTGAAACGGTGCAGAAGTAACATCAATACCAAAAGCAAGCTGCAGCGGCTCCGCCAGCACCGCACGATACGAGGCGACAGTATTAGGCATAAGATGACAGTCCTGGAACAACCAAGAAAGAAAGGACAACACCACCTGAACCGAAAGCAAAGAGCAATGACGAAGGGACAAAAAGAACGGAAGGACCACCAGGAAACTTCATACTGCTGCCAAGAGGAAGCCCACAGGTGGGAAACCAGCAAGGAAGCCACCTGATCACCACAGAGATGGCGATAAACACAAGTCAAAAATACCAAACGCGAAGACTCACGGAGAAAAGCAAACCAGTCTCGTACTGGACCAGGCTCATCTCCTAAAAGAGGCGGAGCCACGGGAAAACCTCCAGGTTCGGACACCGGGCAAGCAGCGCCTGAAACCATGGCTGGGCCGGCCACCAAGGGGCCAAGAGGACTACTCGCCTCTGGTAAGTCTCCAAGTGAACCAGGACCTGGAGCAATAGCTGAACCGGGGGAAGAGGTACAGGAACCCCCACCTCGACCAGTCCTGCCAAAATGCATCGATCCCGACAACCTTGCAGTTGGAGAAGGGCGCCACATATACCGGAAGATGCCTCGACCATGCTGACGAGAAGAGGTCTACCTCCAGTTGCCCGAACGTCAGGCAGAGCCAACTGAATGAGTCGGCGTCGACTGTCCATTCCATGAACAGGGGAACGAACCGGGACAGGCCATCTGCCAGGACGTTGGACACCACCCGGACATGAACCACGAGGAGAGCCAAACACTGAGAGCTCAGCAGACAAGTCATCCGAAGCGACCAACCACAAAGAGCCAAGGACCGCATCGAACCCCTCAGTTCAGGCAATGAACCACCGGGGAGCAGTTCGAATGGAGCCGGATTGTCGATCCGCGGGCGACCCGAACCCTCTGAAGCGCAAACCACACCGCTGCGAACTCCCGCACTATGCTGTGGACCCGACGGAAGGATACTCCAGGTCACGCAAGAGGTAAGCCGCAATGGCCGACCACACCTCAGGCGGTGAGATGCGAGAAGCCAAAAACCTCCGGAAAGACGGAACCGAAGAATCCGCAGGGACACGGAACCAAACTCATGAAGGAGCAGAACCCAAGTCAAAATCATAAGCAGAGAAGGGAAAAGAAAACCCCACTCGTTGCAACAGTAAGCCCCACTCCTAAGGATGGAAAAATTCAGGCGGGGTCCAACGGAGCCCAAGGCCCCCAAGTCAGCTCCTTCCCAACCCCGGGAACAGACCCCCGGAGCCGAGTTGTCCTCCAAAGCCCCAGCCTCACAAGAATAAGCAGGGGCAGCTGAAAGAGCCGGAAGGGAAGAGGCCCACTGGTCAGACCCCGGAGTATCTGCAGGAGGAGCAGAATCGAATGCCTCCGCAGCAACCCTGGACGGGGCAACCTCCAAAACTGCCCGAGTCTCAGAAACCTCTAAACCCTGCCCTGAGCCCAAAGCCCTCATTCGCTTAGGGACCGGTAGCAGGGGAAGGGGGGGAACCGAGTGAACCACCGAAGGGGAAGAACGAAGGGGCGTGGACAGAACCATGGCCGAAGCGACCAACACCCCCAAGTCTGAGTCCCTATAGGCAAACTGAGGCAGCCTCGGGGCATCCAGGGAAGGGATAACCCGAGCTCGTTTCGTTTTGATTTTCGATAACCCGAGCGCCCCAAAAAAAATCATCATCAGTCTGGGTGAATTGAGTCACAAACAAGCAACAGAGCTCGCAGGACTCAGGGTCGAATGTGTCACCGACCCAACAGGCAGCATGACAGGCAAAAACAATGAGTGTCGCCCTGAGACAAGGGGACAGAGGAACCCTCAAACTCGCACAAAGCGAGAGGGGACGCAAGGGTCTCTTCCATCAGACCAGAGAGCCCCTGCGGGGTTTTCCAGGACCCCTAGACTGGGTCTGTTAAGGGTTATCCCAGGAAGGGCACGGCTAAGTGGCGCCCCAAATTACCAAGCAAACTGCTAAAAGCTGAACCCACGGGACGTGTCCACTCACGAGGGCGAAGCAGGGGGTGCCACCACACAAAACGATCCCATCAACCGAGGAACTGAAGTAGGGATCGCAGGCGCAGGGGTTTGGGGCTCCCCCTTCCCCCCAAAAGTGGGAGGGGGGGGGGGAGCTGCACAGACATGCGGCGCGGCTCGTGTAACGTCATGCTTGTTTGCTCGCTTTTCTTTTGGGGTGTTTTGCCCACTCGTTTGACGATTTTCATTGTTAACCAGAATAGGGGTTTGTTTTGTGGCGCTTACCTTTCTGAGTGACTGTCCCGGTCAATGGCAAATATAGAATGCTCCAAATCACATGTGCATTTCTATGGGCCATTGCTCCTCGTGCCTCTGTGAGGGGGGCCAGGTTCTGGCTCGTGGTCCCCGGAAGGCCTAGAACTTCACCCACATCGACTGATGCAAAATAGTTAGGGTATCCATATCAGCCTAGGATAGCTCCAGGGAGCCGTAGGGGCTCCCCCCAGAAAATACCTATTCTGCAAAATTTGTATTCATACAATGTTTTGTATAACATTTCTTAATACTGAATTATTAAAATATGCAGGTGATGAGTCACAATAACGTGGCTAAAGTATGTTGACCAGACCACACACTAGAAGGTGAAGGGACGACGACGTTTTGGTCCGTCCTGGACCATTCTCAAGTCGATTGATTAAAATATGTTAGTATGGAAGGGTTAAGTCAGTGGTTCCCCTTCACCAGGAAGCGTCGATTATTGAACACAATTTAGAAAATCTGAATAAGAATTATTCTCACCCTTTTCCTCTCGCTGCGAGTATTCTCACCCTTTTCCACTCGCCGGGAGTATTTACACCCTTTTCCACTCGCTGGCAGGAACTTATAAGTTAAGTATCTATTGAAAAAAAAGTTCGAAATCGGACTTCATTCGGCCGATGGCGCAGTCAATGTATCCAGCGTTAAAATTGATTTTTCGTCAGTACGCGTTCACCCCTATTTATCCCACCTTACCTATTTACGCCCCATGTTCATTAGTCTCGGAAAGCCTCAATATTATAGTGCTTTAATTTTGGCTAAAACACCGAAATGTAAAATTGGGGTACATTAAGCGAGAGGACAGGTTAGCTAATGAGTTCTAGCTAACACCATCAAATTCTATACGGAACTTTACACAGGACTAGACTTATACGCAGCTTTACACTGGACTAGCCTTATATGCAGCTTTACACTGGACTAGCCTTATATGCAGCTTTACACTGGACTAGCCTTATATGCAGCTTTAATATATAGCGATTCCTTAATAAATGAGGTTACAGTTAATATATGAAGTAATACGAAAATCAAATATTATTTAAAGGATGAACACAGATGTTGAACATGACAATACTACATAAACAAGAAAGGGAACACAAGTGGCTGGTACAACATTGAGAATGGGTTGTGATACAATAACAAAAGAATAGCGGAAGATGACGTTCATTTGTCCTCTGAAGCGACGGCCATCTTGCCCGCCAGGGGTGGTGAATTACCTGTCGGTGAAGACGTGTTGATTATAGCCGCAGGTGAGCCAGAGGTGAGGCAGGCCGCCCGTGGAGGCGTCCAGCAGCCTCGTCACCTCCGTCAGTCTCGCCCTCGCCCACTCTCCGCCACGCCCACACACCATCTGCGGATACACGCCCTCTGTTGAGTGACCAGGTGCCGCGCCCGCTGCTGTGGCTGGGTCACACTGTCACTACCGGCAGCCATGTTTGTGTACACCTCTTATGTCTCTATTTCCCTCCCTAGCTTCTGTACTCTACTCCCACCTGCCTTTTCCATGTCTCTCTCCCTCCTTTCCTTCCTTCCTTCCTGTCAGCCTTATTCCCTCCCTCCCTTCCATATTCTCTACTTTACTCACTCCCCCTCACATCCTCCCCTCTGTTCCTTTTCCTCTTCAACAATTCTATATTTTTAATTGATTTTTTATTTCCTAATTTTTCTTATCTATTCATTCCCGATCTGTTTTTCTATCATTTCCTTCTGTGTCGTCGTTCTATTCCTCTTTGTTTTAACATTTCCCTGTTCTTTATCTCTACTATACCTGTGTATCTGTGTCCTTACTTTATCTGCTCTCATCTCCCACTCTTCCTCCATCACATCTAGTACCTGTAGTACTAGATGTACATCACATCTGCATGTACTATGTATCTATGTATTACATAGACTGTATTACCGTCTACCACATCTAGGGGTCCCGGGAGTACAGTCGGGTTCGTCCTCGACTCACAATCGAGAATTCTGGGTTCGAATCCCGGGCGGGACAGAAATGGTTGGGCACATTTCCTATCACCTAATGCAACTGTTCACCTAGCAGTAAGTAGGTATCTTACTCACAGGTAGGTAGGAATTAGACGGTCATGTTTACCAGGGTTGCATCCTGGGGGGGGGGGTGGTATCAGTAATTCGACCTTGGAAGGGGGGGGGGACATCGATATAAGCCTAACGTGTTTGATTACATTCTGCCTGCCTGTCCTCCGACATAATTAATTATTATTATTATCTTCCATTTGCATTAACGGTCTCTACCTTTAGTTTCCTATATTATCAGCGTCCTCTCTGTCTTCTCCTCTCTTCCCGACCTCGAAATTCTCCATTTCCCTTCGTGTTCTTTCCATAAATTCTCGTTTCTCACCTCTTCGCTATCCGAACTATTTGCCTATTCTTTACCTTACCCTCATTCGTTTTACGTCCTATCCCAATATCTTTTTCTCTGTTCCAGTCCTATCCAGTTGTGTATCCCAGCCGCACCATTCCTTCGTCCATCCCCCAAATCCGTGGTGTGTGTTCAGGGCAACAATGGAACAGTTTGCCCGTCGTATCATCGCTTCTCAGCCAAACTGTGAGAGAAAGACGGCCATGTTTACCCCCCTTCCCTGTATTGTTGTGGTCGGCCACCGCCAGGCTAACATTATTATTACTGAGTGCCGGGTTATGGTGTGTTGCTGGGGCGGTGGTGGGTCACTACGTGTTGCAGGGGATGGGTGCTGGTTTGTGGTGTGTTGCAGGGGATGGGTGTTGGTTTATGGTGTGTTGCAGGGGGATGGGTGCTGGATTATTGTGTGTTGCAGGGGATGGGTGCTGGTTTCTGGTGTGTTGCAGGGGATGTCCATCTCTCGTCAAGCATAAGACTAAACTGGAGAAGGTTTAAAGTTTTGCCACCAGACTAGTACTCGAACTGAGGGACATGAGCTATGAGGAGAGACTACGGGAATTAAACCTCACGTCACGGAAGACACGAAGAGTTAGGGAAGTCACGGAATTCACGGAAGAGTTAGGGGGGACATGATCACTACATACAATATTCTCCAAGGAATTGATAGGGTTGATAAAGACAGATTATTTAAGTGCAGGCGATGAGTCACAATAACGTACCTAAAGTAAGTTGCCCAGACCACACACTAGAAGGTGAAGGGACGACGACGTTTCGGTCCGTCCTGGACCATTCTCAAGTCGATTGACTTGGTTGAATCGACTTGAGAATGGTCCAGGACGGACCGAAACGTCGTCGTCCCTTCACCTTTTAGTGTGTAGTCTGGTCAACAGATTATTTAACACACGGGGCACAAACAGTAGGAGACACAGGTGGAAATTGAGTGCCAAAATTAGCCATAGAAACATTAGAAATATTTTGTTTAGTGTCAGAGTAGTAAACAAATGGAATGCTTTAGGAAGTGATGTGGTGGAGGCTGACTCCATACACAGTTTAAAGTGTAGATATGATAGAGCCCAGTAGGCTCAAGAACCTGTGCATTAGTTGATTGACAGTTGAGAGGCAGGACCAAAGAGCCAGAGTTCAACCTCCGCAAGCACAACTAGGTGAGTACACACACACACCTCTGGGAGGCCTCGCGACTGAGTGAACGTAGGGTCAGCCCTTAGGACTTCGACCCTCTACGAACGGGCGTAGTAGTCCTAAGGGCCCGGGTTCGATACACTGCCGAGGCAGAAACAAATGGGCAAAGTTTCTTTCACCCTGATGGGTCTGTTTACCTAGCAGTAAATAGGTACCTGGGAGTTAGACAGCTGCTTCGGGCTGCTTCCTGGGGATGTGTGTTTGTGTGTGTGTGTTAGCGATAAATATGTAGACATAATAGAGGAAACATAAATTGGTTAGAAAGGCGGGGTCCAAGAGCTAATAACGCGATTCTGCTGACACAAATAGTAAATACCCAGACGTATATGCGACCTACCACGACGAAACGACCGTAGTCTTTGAGCGCAATGTGGGCGTGTCTGGTGCGCACGATGGTGGGCGTGGCGAAGGCGTGGCGGCAGAAGTGGACCACGCCCGCCAGCTGGCCTGCGAGGGCGGTGCGGGCGGTGGTGGGCGTGTGGCGTGGTCGGAAGTAGAGGACGGCGTGGGCGGGGTCATCCTCCTCCCTGGTACACACGCCGCTGTCGTACACCAGCACGGCCGGCAGACACCTCCTGCAACAACAACAACAACAACAACTGTCTCAATGTTTGTGGTAGTGGTGGTGGTAGCTACTCCAGTAACACTCAACAACCACCACAGAAGATTAGTGTTTGTGGTAGTGGTGGTACCTGGAGTAACAATCATCCCTCTCCCCCACACAGTTTAGGGTGTTCAGAACAACAACCACACTTACAGTATTAAACTTGGTATCTAAATGTATGACCACACTCGTGGTCACTCATTTACAATGCTAACAAATATTGTCTTCATGGATCAGGTTAGAGAGCTGTTATACACATAGTTCAGTGATATATTGATCAATCACAGCTGACTGTAGTGCTTTTAAAAGGATAATCTAACCTACGTACTTAAATACACACATTTGCATCACGCGCGCATGTACGTGCATGTACAAACGTTCTCGCTCTCTCCTCTCATAGCTGTGAAACCCCACAATAAAATAAGGTACATCAAAACACTTGGAACAAATACAAATAATATATTTTTATCATACAAAATATTCTACAAAAAACTCAGTATTATTAAGGGAAAAACAATGTTAGTAAAGAGTTACGAGAGAGTACCAATGGTTAACAACACTCTTGGTATGGAGTTGCACTCTTCAAAGCCGCCACCTGGCCTAGGGTCGGGGACGAGCAAGTTTTTATTTATTTATTTTATTTTTATAATTACATGCCAACGGCAAGCTGCATAAATGCAATAAAAGAGAAGGCACCGAAGCACCACCATTAAACAAAACTACAGAACAACGTCCACATTACAGAGGACAGCACAAACATAAGAACATAGTCAATAAACCATTAAACAACAACAACACATGAACAAAGCAATCAACAAATGCACAAAACAAGCAAACAACAAAACACACGGAACCCGCAAGGGACTGGAACCAATATACATTAAGCACATAACAATAGGAACTAGGTTAGTCCGAGGCAGACACAGGGTCATAGGTACTGTACATACGAGGATAATACTTCTGAGGATACACTCGACAATATCTCTTCCAAAGAGCCCAATGCTCCTTTGGGGTAGGGAGGACGCCATTCCAGTTACTGGGGGCGATGCATAATGGACGGAAGGCCCTCCACATGCGAATACAGCAGCTCCGGCTCAACACGCCTCTGCACAGAACCCGACACCACGACATTCTTCCAGCGAACGTCCTTCCGGAGCACCACCATAAAGTCTCCCCATCACACCTCCAGACACACCAGGGGGGAAACAATCCCCCCATTCAGGGGAGCCCACAGCCAGGACACTAAGGAACCAGCACGGAGGTCCCCACACTACCAGCCGCCTCCGTCGCATGTAAATCCACCGCCACCACCATTGCCGAATCACCACCAGGAACCACAGCTGCACCAGGAATACTCTCGTCGTCCAAAGACATACAATTGGCAAAGTCCCCCACATCTACCCAGTCGGTACCCCCAGGAGGCGGAGCATCTGAAGAACGCGTCGAGTGCTTAGGGTTTGGCCGCAGGTCATCCAAACTTTCTATCACCAGGGTATCCGACTCCCCAGAAATGCAGGGAAGCCGCGCTCGGGCACTCCAGCCACGGGCACGCAAAACCTCAGCGGTGGGGACCACAGGAGGGTACCGGCCCATGCACAACAAAAGACTGTGACCCACTACAACCCACCAGCACTGTGGGTTGTTACAACCCTGCACTACATCCACATCCGCATCACACACGACGGCCACAAAACTCACAGACGACGATGGCACAGCTATCGGCGAATGACCCCCCCACCAGCCATAATCTCGATACCGAAAGAGCAAAGCTCGCGGGCCGAAAGAGCAAAGCTCAAACCCCGCAAACACAACTAGGTGAATACACAGGCGGAGGTGCGGCGACGAGGGAGCCACCTAGCGACTGCACGCCTCATCCATCACAGACACAAACTGGTGTTTATTACCTGCTTTCCTCTCCCACTCATATTTCTCCCCCGTCTGCCCGAGCGCTGAGGTCTGGCACTGTCGCCTTATTTTTCATGTCGCCATCAAAGAAACGGAGAATTATATTTTTTATCGGAAAATTGACACAAAAAATCTTTCGATCTGTATTAACTTTACATTTAGAAACTAATGAAGGAAACGCAAATATAACGACCAGATGGGTCGGTTAAGATTACAACAAGGAGGATAGCCACAGCAATTGGAGATAACGAAAGCAATATATTACCCCTTTAAAGGCTTAAATATTGTCCCACATAACCATAAAGATAAAACTATATGAAATGGCGAAAAAGGCACATTATAAATGACATAACAATTCTAACACTCACAAGGACCAGTATTGTTGACGTCTGCTCCCTTATATACTTCATACTTTGCTCTTTGCAACTAAAATACATTCAAGAATTTATCGGCAGTTTTCAAGAAGATAATTAATTGTCTTATGTTACTGCAGTGTGAGGACACCGTAGACCAGACCACCGTAGACCAGGTGAGTGTGGAGGAGCACCGTAGACCAGGTGAGTGTGGTGGAGCACCGTAGACCAGGTGAGTGTGGTAGAGGACAGTGAGGGAGGCAGGTGCCCGGGGATGAGGTGCCGGGCAGCGTGAGGGAGTGCCATCACCGCCTTGCTACGTCAGCCTGCTCCACATTAACCAATATATCGCTTTCATTTAGACTTGGCGAGCAGCGATCTATCAGACTATCCGGATTGGCCGGCGGCACTAAACACAGTCTGCTGTGACACAAACGGCCGTTCTCGGCTCAACCGGCCAAATTTCGGAAAGCAATAGCGAGTAGTGACCCTGTAACACCCCCACCCCAGCCCCATAATCGTCCCCCTCCCCCTCTCCATCCACAAATTATATACATCTGTTAACAAAAGTCTTATTTTAAGCGACTCATTTGGGGTCATATTCCGGGAAGGAAAAAAGTTAATGGGATCTGGATAATTGGTCATTCACAAGCTTTACTGCATCACCCAATCCCGTGTTCCCAGCTCTCACTCCAACTCAGATTAACGCTGATTGGATGTAGCTTAAGCGACTTGGAGCGAGTGATTTCATCTGGGGGATGGTGTAGTTCGCGGCCCAACTTTTCCCTTGAAGACCTAATTGCCAGCGGTGTGGAACTACACCAGGCAGAGTTTAGAGGGGACAGGCAGCCATCACCAGCCTCAGATTAATACACTACCATCAACAATACCTACATTACCACCAGCAACATCTACACTACCAATTTTGGGTATACTGTGAGGATATCTTCAAGAATACGAGAGTGAATAAAGTAATTGCAAAGCTCCGGGTACCTCATGCCAACTGGTCTGAAAGGTCTAATAACTGGGCATTCAGTGATGTAGTGCGGGAGATCATGCCGTAGTTCCTGCTCACAGAGTTTGCAACTGGAGTGCTCAGGATTGGGAGACCCGTCACCTGCAGCCACCTGCCACAGGTAACGGTAACCCAACCTGATCCTTGCAACCACTTATATATGTGCAAACGGACTTCATGAAACTCTACGGAAAAATCATGCAGAATTCAAGTACCTCGCGTCCCCGAACTACTTTTTTATTTTATATATATATATATATACAAGAGTTGTTAAATTCTTGTACAGCCACCAGCACGCATAGAGTTTTGGGCAGGTCCATAAACCTGTGTTCCCGGAATACGACCCGCCAAATTGTTTAACAACCAGGTACCCATTTTACTGTAGGGTAAACAGAGGGTACAGTTGAGCATTGACGCCCAGTAAATCCTCCCCGGCCAGGATACGAACCCAGACCGAAGTGCTCGCAAAACGCCAGGCGAGTGTCATAACCAATACACCACTGGGAGTGTACTGGGACTTGAGCATGGATGAGGACCCGTTGTCCAGGACCAGAGGGAAGCCTCACCACTTCACAAAATAATTCACCTCTAATTTAAAATTTACCGAGCTGTCTTTCGATTTTTTTAGTAAAAATAAAATTAATTAAGTCGTTTGTTCGTCGTTATGGAACCAAGCTCCGTCAAGCATAGGTCCAGAGGCGAGGAACTTCAATAGCCGCTGTCTGAGGGTTCTGAGACACCCTTAAAATTTAAGGGAAGTCGTGCTGGAGTGGTCCACTTGGAAGTGACTTAAGGACCAAGTCATAACGGAAACTGCATGGACCGTAACAGTAGGTGTAACATAACAGTGTAACAGTAGGTGTAACAACCTCGTTATTTTTATTTTATATGGCGTATATAAATTGACTTCTGGGGATCTAGCAGGCAAAGAGCAATGCCATTTTTAGAAGCAATCAGGAATTAGTTTATTGTAGGATGAGTATAAGCCAATTAGGAGCAGAACCCGATCTGTGTACCAGGGGAGAGGCTCTCTGTCTGATCCCTGGTGTGTCAAATCCTTGGTGCACAGTACACCCCGGGAGGTGCACAGTACACCCCGGGGGGTGCACGGTACACCCCGGGGGGTGCACGGTACACCCCGGGGGGTGCACGGTACACCCCGGGGGGTGCACAGTACACCCCGGGGGTGCACAGTACACCCCGGGGGGTGCACGGTACACCCCGGGGGGTGCACGGTACACCCCGGGGGTGCACGGTACACCCCGGGGGGTGCACGGTACACCCCGGGGGGTGCACGGTACACCCCGGGGGTGCACGGTACACCCCGGGGGTGCACGGTACACCCCGGGGGTGCACGGTACACCCCGGGGGGTGCACGGTACACCCCGGGGGTGCACGGTACACCCGGGGGTGCACGGTACACCCCGGGGGTGCACGGTACACCCCGGGGGTGCACGGTACACCCCGGGGGTGCACGGTACACCCCGGGGGGTGCACGGCACACTCCGGGGGGTGCACGGTACACCCCGGGGGTACACGGTACACCCCGGGGGTGCACGGTACACCCCGGGGGTGCACGGTACACCCCGGGGGTGCACGGTACACCCCGGGGGTGCACGGTACACCCCGGGGGGTGCACGGTACACCCCGGAGATGCACGGTACACCCCGGGGGTGCACGGTACACCCCGGGGGTGCA